GGATAGTGTTTTCTATTTCCATCCATTTGCATGCAAAGTTCGAGAAGTCATTGTTTTTTACTGCTGAGTAGTACTCTAATATGTATGTATTCCATACTTTCTTCATCCATTCTTCCATTGAAGGGCATCTAAGTTGTTTCCAGGTTCTGGCTATTACAAACAATGTTGCTATGAACATAGTTGAGCAAATACTTTTGTTGTATGATAAGGCCTCTCTTGGGTGTTCAGGCGATGAAAGGAGACAGAGACAGAGACCCACACTGGAGCACCTGACTGAAATCCCAAGGTCCAAATCAGGAGCAGAAGGAGAGAGAGCACGAGCAAGGAACTCAGGACCTCGAGGGGTGCACCCACATACTGAGACAATGGGGATGTTCTATCGGGAACTCACCGAGGCCAGCTGGACTGGGTCTGAAAAAGCCTGGGATAAAACCGGACTCGCTGAACATAGCAGACAAGGAGGACTACTGAGACCTCAAGAACAATGGCAATGGGTTTTTGAACCTACTGCACGTATTGGCTTTGTGGGAGCCTAGGCAGTTTGGATGCTCACCTAACTAGGCCTGGATCTAGGTGGGTAGTCCTTGGACTTCCCACAGGGCAAGGAAACCTGATTGCTCTTCTGGCTGATGAGGCAGGGGGACTTGAATGTGGGAGGGGGAGGGAAATGGGAGGCTGTGGTGGGGAGGAGGCAGAAATCTTTAATAAATAAATAAACTTAAAAAAAAAAGCTCCTCCCTTTGAGGCTCAGAGATCTTTGAGAGAAGGAAAGGAGATCTGTAAGAGCCAAAGATGGTGAATGACCCAAGCAAGCAGAATCATCTGTATACCAAAGGACTGACAAACATGAAATCACAGAGACTGTAGCAACATGCCAAGGACCTGCACAGGTCTAAGCTCTGAGAGGTTAAGTTGACATGGTCCCATACCTAATCAAGAAGCGATTAGTGATTAATGTCTGCTAGCAAAGGAAAATTCAGGTCTCTCCAATGGAGCTGTCACTGGCTATATCAGTCACATCCCAGGACAGGCTCTAGGCCCAAGGATAATTGTCCAGTACAGAACAACCCCCCCCCCCTTTTGTGGGCTTTTTGTTTTGTTTTGGCAATTTTTTGTCATATGTGTGGTTTTTCTTTGAGTTTTATAATTGTTTTTTGTTGAATATATGCGCGCGCACACACACACACACACACACACACACACACACACATATATATATATATATATATATATATATATATATATATATATATAGAGAGAGAGAGAGAGAGAGAGAGAACATGAAGTTGGGTGGTTAGGGAGCTGGGGAACATCTTGGCGGAATTGGAGAAAGAGAAATCATCATCAAACTATATTGCATGAAAATATTTAATAAAGAGATCCATTTTAAGAAAGATCATTTCTCCTCTAACTGACATGCTTACTTGTGTGAGTTGGGCAAATAACTTGACTTTGAAATTCAGATTCATTTTAGTTACCGGATTGGTCTAAATGGATTATTTCATGCAGTATTTATCTTGTGAATTGCTTCTTAGGTGTCAGGAACTGTTTTCAGTCTCAGGAACAAAACCCAATATAGAAATCTGGAAAGAAAAAGGCTTTATTTAGATAATGCAGATTCCAATAGCATTAGTAGTCACTTTAGTTGTTACTTCTCAAGTTTATAAATATTGTCTCTCTTTGTTTTCTTATCCCTAAACTAAATACAGTACAGTAAGAGGTTAAAGGAAGTAACTGCATGATCAAATGAGTGGACATTTGAAACTTTCTACTCTGCGTAGATATTTTACATATTTGTACTTGTTTGCTTCATGAATCTAATCTGAAGTAAGATATTTTCTTCTTAACATTTATAAATACTCAGTGCTTACATATAACTGTGAATGTTATAATACATTTTGTTTCCAAATAACTAAAGATTGTATTATATCATTATATAAAATCTGTGTTCTTCTTTGTATATGTATGTGAATGTTATTAGTGTTTTAACAGACCGTATTATCTTTGGTTCTGTGTACATTTTTGGTCTTTATTGTTTTAGAGTTCTTAGTTGCCATTCTGAGACTGAGCTCATGCACTTGAATATGTACTCAGATTTAGATACCAACAGGTAATTTTTTTCATTCATGTAACGTGCATTTTCTAACTCAGTGTTTACTAGCCTACTAGTAATATATAAAGCTTTATTGAGAGCACATGAAATTCTTTAAAGAATTACATAGTCTTCATCAGAAAGTTTTAGACTTCAACTAGCATGAACATAACAAAGTATATGAATATATATGAATTTTTTGTATATACAGGTGTAGACAAACAGATAAACAGTGACCTAGATATATAGATATATACATAGACATATAGACAGATACATAGATAGAAACATAGACAGATGTCTAAATTCATTTCACCACCTCAGCCCAGGAAATTGTGTTCTACTGGGGTCTAGCTATTGTGAAATCCAGGATAGCTGGCTGCCTCACATATGCAGTAGCATAATTCTCTTGTTGCATTTTTTTCAAACATTCCTTATTGTGAACTTCTATTGTATAATTAAATATAAGCACCCTAGTCAGACTCTGATATGCCTCCCTGACACACATGTGACTATATAATAAGTCTGTTGAAAGCGTACCTCTTAGAAAAAGAAGCATCTCCACAGCGCATCCTCATCAACTAAGTCTGTGGATATCAGTAGATGCTTAGTAAGGGTTGTGTAAATGAGTGTTCAGATGGAGGAATTAATGATTGGAAAAGCTTGGTAATGGAAGTTTTCTACAACTATGAATAATGTTACGTTTGCATTATTTAATCATCACAGTACACATAAGTAGAGAAATTCTTCCTTCTTAGACATTTATATTTTCCATTTTGGGGCTACTGTATTAATGCTGTAATTACTGTATTAATGAACACTTTGCTCTCATATTTTTGTACATGTGTGATTTTATTATAGCATGGAAAGAACTTGCAGTTCTGTAGCAATGTACTTTGGGTGTTTAATTTTTGACTCAGTGGCTAGCATTTTTAATTCCTTTTTATGTTTTTAACAGTATTGTGCCACTGTATGGTCTTGAACTTAAAATGTAGCCATAGTTGACGTTAAACTTCTTATTTTTCTGTCTCCTTCTTTTAATTGCAAGATTTACAGTGGACCACAGTCATGCCTCATTTACCTAGAGTCTGGCACATGTCAGGTACAGGCTCTATTAACAGAACTACTTCTCAGCCTTCATTAAATATTTTTGAATAGAATTCATATAAATTAAATGAAAGTTGATCCTAAGATACATTCTGAAAACTGATCTACTAAGTAAATATTATTTAGCCTTTATAGTTACTGTTCAAGTTGCTCATAACATGCCCATTGCACAGAGATTCATACGCTATACATGTTTGTAAATATCGTCAACATAACCTCCTTTGTGACACTGATTACTTTCTATATGTATCTGTAAGCTTCCTCCTCTCCCATTGTCTGAGTATGTCTGAGTGGGAATAAAATATTAATAAAATAAAACAGATATTAATAAAAACTATTAGCATATTTCATACTATGTTATCATCAGCTAATACTTTAATATGCATTAATAACCCAGTGTTCTCATGTTGAAAGCAAGTAAAATACATGATAATGAGGGATGTCATTCTATATTTTGAACCCCTGCTAAATACTGTACCATTTGAAACCCAAAACCCATATGATTGGGTCAGAATAAAAACAATAAAAATCTTGTTATAATATAGTTTTACTTTGCAAAATCAGAAACAAAAAAAAATCCTGTGGTGGTATACACCTTTAATCCTAGCACTTAGGAGGCAGAGGTAGGCAGAACTCTGACTTTGCAGCCAGCTCAGTCTATAGAGTGAGTTCCAGGGCAGCCAAGGCTACACAAAGAAAAAAAAAAGTCTCAAGAAAGGTAACTATTGTCTTTAGAAAAGTGTTTTCTTCTAGTCTATTAAGTATAATTTCTTAAAACCATGTTTTCCATGTTTTGCATAGACTGTATTCCTCCATTCTCAAAAAACATGGTTTTACACTTTTCTTTTTCACTTTTTGAGATGTACAGCTATTAACAAGTGAATGTTGTAGAGGTCTCTATATTCTTTTATTGTTACAAAGCAAAATATAGTGAATTCATTCTTAAAAACACAGTCTCAGTGAAACTTCTAGAGCCCAAACACTGCAAATTAACGAGGACTTTTCAGCAGCTACATGTCCCAATTTTAAAATAAGTATCTCATGCTTGGGGATTTCTAAAGCATATCTCCAGACTTCAGGTTAGTGTCTGTTGATTGATCTAAATAAAAACAGTGCTCTTTTATTGTATAGTTGAAACTTTCCCAATATATGTATTTTCTAAGTATCAGTTTTGTTTTGAACTTGTGATCTGTGTAGTGGAACAGCTGTTGCTTATCCTTGCCTTCTCAACATTCTTTCTGGGAAAGGAAGCAAAAGGAAAACTAAACAAGCATGCGAAGAAAAAAAACAGAGATAATTTTTAACTGCTTGTCATATTAAAAACAAAAATATTTTTCCTTTTCAGATTTTGGCTTCAAGAGACAAGCTAGAATCTAATGTTTTAAAATAGCCACTATGTTTTAGATGCATAATGACATATACACAAAAAGCTGGAAAGCTTCATAGGTGTGGATCTTGTTACTAATTTTTAGCTCTGTAAAGAGCTTAGTTTGTAATCAAAATGATGATAAAACACAACTTTTTCTGACTCTTTCCCTTTCTGGCATTTCTACTAACCTATATTTTTTTCTATGCTTTCCAAAACCGTATCCTCCCATGCCACATCTGAAATCCTGAGGTTAAGGGGTAAAGACATCTACAATTAGGTTAGCCATTCCCTTATGTCATACTTGTGTAGCTGAACATTTGTGAGTTACTACGGAGTCTTTGGCTTAAAATGATCTCTCAAAACAAGCCAGTGGGAGACATCAGACTTCTTCACCTCTCCCAGATGGGGAGGGAGGAGCAAGAGTCATTTTTACAAGAAAGCTTGACCAAAGGAGACCTTCCTATCTAACAAGAACCTTAATGATCACAGAATTTCTTTTTGGTGAATTCCCGTGTTTCTTTTACAGTTTCTGATTCCAAATGAGAATATACATTTTTCTGTGTTTGATGGGCTGGATAAGATTTGGTAAGATGTTTATTAATCACTTATCATTAAAATGCCTATAAAATAATTAATGTTTTATATTCTGTTATGCCATTATAGTATGAATGATTTGCTGATTATGATGTTTATACCAAGCCAGATTGCAATTAAGGAGGTATGTGTGTATACTTATATGTGTGTGTGTGTGTGTGTTTGCTAACTTGGGCCTCTATGTTGTGTTAATTTGTCAGAAATTAACAGCTAGAGAACAAGTACTCAAAGAGGAAATAAGTAGAAACATTCAAGATAAAAAGTAATTAAGTAATAAGGAATTAATTCAAGGTTTGAAAATCATGACTTACTATATATCTTGCTTCCGTTTCATTTGTTTGAAAAGTTTTAAGTATGAAGAAAATCATTGAACAGGTAACTTATCATACAAAACAAAATTATCAATACAGATGGACATTTTTTTCTTATTTCACATAATAGAAGTCTCAAATTCTCGAATATTGTACTCATAAGCTGCAATCCTTCTGTTGGCTGTTAATGGTAATAAAGTTTACTAATGTTAGCAATATGACTTTCTCCTTTATGGGAGAACTTCTTGTTCTAGCATGAGCGAGAATGACTTTTTGGTTACGGCTGAACAAGCCATTCCACTTTCAGTAAATGAAAACAGTAGCAAATTCACTAAGTCAAAATGAATTATAGTCCTCTGGTGGAATTTTGTGAAAGATTATTTTCTTTAGGTTTTACATGTCTTTTATAAATTCTTGACTATGCACTCTAAAATAACATTACACATCAAGTAGAAATCAATATTTTGCTTTTATTTTCAGTTGAATATTTGAACCAATCATAGTTCTTATAAGTGTTTAGAAACTAGGCAATAGTGCATAGTTTATGTTATAAATTTTATGCATTTGGGGTGCTTTTTTAAAAGACACTTTAAGTTTGTGATATGTGGTATCAGCATCTTGACTTGAAATTTAGAGAAATCTGAACTCTATGCTACCAGGCAAAGTTATCATCTAATATCATAGTTCATAGTTATTTTGATATCATAGTTTGCACACTTTGGTGTAGACTTCCAGAGATTATTATTTTGATTAGAATTAGCCAGTTCCCTGTGTTTTCAACAGGGAAAATGAAATTATACTTCTTAAGTATTTTTTGTTTCTGTCAAAAGTTTAGTTCATTTGTGGTTAAAATAGAATAACAAGACTTTTAGATATTAACAAACAGAGAATATAACAATTAAAGACTTTCATAATTTGAAAGATTTTTTAAACACATGTAGACTTAAGTTTCTTATATTTAAAAAATATCTCCACTCAATTAGAAGATTTTTCTGGATTTTTAGTGGGCTATTCTTTCATTCTGCTTGTACACAGTTTTTCTTTCTTCACGGGAGATTCTGCTCTATTCTATCTATAGTTGGTCTCTCCTGTCAACACTGAATATCATTGATGAGGTCTTCTCTATACAAAAGGAAAATGAGCAAAACATTCAGAAAGTATTTATGGATTACAGGGCAAGCAGAAGGTAGCTAAACGGATTGAACAAAGGTATTTATCTACATGTACATTCAAATTATATGTACATATATTTTTACCGTTGCTGCTAACTGCTAAATTTGCAGTTTTTGTTGTTTCTGTTATTCTTGTAGTAAGAATAGGAAAATATTTCTGTAAGGGCCAGATAATAAGTAGGTGAAGTTTGTGGATTATAGAGTCAATGTGTCTATTCAGCTTTGCTACCTGACTTAGAATGCAGCTTTAGACTCAATGAAAATAGACCAGTGTTGCTCTGTTCACAAATCTTTATTTAATCTATTGAATTAGTCTTAATTTTTAAATATCACAAAATATGGCCAGTTTTCTTTTTTATTTATTTAAAATTATGAAAGTTGAGGCTGGAAAGATGGTTCAGAGGTTAAGAGCACTGGCTGGTCTTCCCGAGGAACTGAGTTCAAATCCCAGCATCCACATGTTAACTCACGATTTATGACTCCTGTTTCAGGGAATCTGACACCATCACACAGACATACATGCAGGTAAAACATCAATGAACATAAAATATGAATAAATGCGTTACTTTAAAAATATGAAGCTCTTCTTAGAATGCTGACCAGATTTGTCTTTCCTGACGTAGTTTGTGAATTAGTTTTAGTCCTGTGGGAGACAAGTTGAAAACAGATTAATTCAGCTCTCTTTTCCCATGTCATAGCTGAGAAAACTGAAACAAAGATTTTGAGTCATTTTTTTTTCTAAAATTATAGACCTTGTCCTCTTCTGTATAGTTTAAATAGCAATTTGGTTAAAATTCAAATTGTTTTTTTTTTTTTAATTTAAGTCTTTTCAAATTGCATGTATGAGTGCTATATTTAAATTTGTTCACACCTTCTCTCCTTGTATATCCCTCCATTTCTAGCTACCAGCTCATGCACTGAGCACTGCAGTTCTGCATGGGAATACAGCAACCATCCCATTCTTGCACTCCCAAGAGCCACTGTGTAAATTTTAATTGGAATATTATGACAAAAACCCAGAGGCCACAATCTTTCCACGAGATAACTGAATCTTAATAATGATCCAGGAAAACCTTTAGCGCTCCCCTTTAGGATGAGTAGAAATGTCTTCGAACATAACTTCAGAAAGAGTTCCCTTTATAATGTGATTAACATCTCTCTGTCCAAGTACAGAACAGTTCAATCATACAACCTCCCCCTGAAGACATTATAACTCTACACTCAGTTGTGGTATTGCTACACTGTGTAACTAACTGACAACCAAACATTATGAAATTGTTTAAACACTATGAATTTATTTTCATATATGCAATACAAATGTATGTATTTGCACATATATGCATATATATGCATATGTGTGTTTCTTTCCTGTTTGGGACAATTTATAGATGGGTACTGTATCTGTATCACTTTCACCTCTCTCTTTGCTCCAATTTCTCCCACGGTCCCTTATGTGTGACCTTGAGACATTTGATCTTGTACTTCATTTTTTTTTTTTTTTACTTAAACACTGAAGGGATAAATGCTAAATAAAGACAAGGCTGGTCTTACATGCAGTGATTGCCAAGGAATCAGGAGTCATGGCTAACACTGTAGTTAGGATAAAAGTCCATTTTATTTTCTTCTTTTTTTAAAGATTTATTTTTATTTTTTTATTGAAAAGAAAAAAATTAAAAAATTTCCGCCTCCTCTCAGCCTCCCATTTCTCTCCCCCTCCCCCCACTTTTCTCCTCCTCCCTCTCCAGTCCGAAGAGCAGTCAGGGTTCCCTGCCCCATGGAAAATCCAAGGTCCTCCCCCCTCCATCCAGGTCTAGGAAAGTGAACATCCAAACTGGTAAGGCTCCCACAAAGCCAGAACATGAAGTAGGATCAAAACCCAGTGCCATTGTCCTTGGCTTCTCATCAGCCCTCATTGTTCGCCATATTCAGAGAGTCTGGTTTTATCCCATGCTTTTTCAGTCACAGTCCAGCTGGCCTTGGTGAGCTCCCAATAGATCAGCCCCACTGTCTCCGTGGGTGGGTGCACCCCCAGTGCTCCTGACTTCCTTGCTCATGTTCTGCCTCCTTCTGCTCCTCAATGGGACCTTGGGAGCTCAGTCTGGTGCTCCAGTGTGGGTCTCTGTCTCTATTTCCATCCATCGCCAGATGAAGGTTCTATGGTGATATGCAAGATATTCATCAGTATGGCTATAAGATAGGGTCATTTCAGGTTCCCTATTTAAAGATTTTTTTTATTTATTATGTATACAACATGCCTTCCATGTATGCTTGCATGTCAGAAGAGGGCACCAGATCTCTTTATAGATGGCCATGTGGTTGCTGGGAATTGAACTCAGGACCTCTGGAAGAGCAGTCAGTGCTCTTAACCTCTGAGCCATCACTCCAGCCTCGCCCCCCCCCCC